TGGCTTAAAACCGAGTTAGCTTTATATAACAGAGTTGGACCATAACAACAATGGACCATAGCAGATTTGGACCATAAAAGGGTTGAACCAAAAATTAGATGGATCATAACACAGTAGGACCATAACTGAGTTGGACAGTAAAAGGGTTGGACTAAAAAAGAGTTGGACCATAACACAGTTGAACCACAACACAGTTGGACCATAAAAACGTTATCACGTTACAGATTTAGACCATAAAAGGATTGGACCAAAAAAGAGATGGACCATAACAGAGTTGGACCATTACATAGTTGGACCATAAAAATGTCTTTCCCAAAAAGAGGAGGACCATAACAGAGATGGACCATAACAAAGTTGGACCATAAATTGGTTGAACCAAAAAAAAAAGGATTGACCCTAACAGAGTTGAACCATAACTGAGTTGGACAGTAAAAGGCTTCGACCAAAAATGGCTTTGACCAAAAAATAGATGGACCATGAAAGAGTTGGACAAAAAAGAGATTGGACCATAACCCAGATAGATCATAACCCAGTTGGATCATAAAGCGGTTGGTCGGAAACAGAAATGGACCATAACAGAGTAGGACCATAAAAGGGTTGGAACACAAAAGAGACGGACCATAACAGAGTTGGGCAATAACAATGTTGTACCATAACAAAGTTGGACCGTAATAACAATGGACCTTAACAGATTTGGACCATAAAAGGGTCGGACCAAAAAGAGAAGGACCATAACAGAGTTGAACCACAACAGAATCGGACCATAAAAGGATTGGACCTTAATAGATATGAACCATTAAAAGGTTGATCCAGTAATTAGACAGAGTTGGACCTTAACAAAGTTAGACAATAAAAGTGTTGGACAAAAAAAGATGGACCATAACAGAGTCGGACCATAATATAGTTGTACCATAACAGAGTTGGGACGTATCAACAATGGACCATAACTGACTTGGACCATAACAGACTTGGACCATAAGAGTTGGACCATAAAAGGCTTGGACAAAAAATTAGATGGACCATAACAGAGTTGGACCATAAATAAAGTTGTGCCGTGCCATAACAGAGTTGGACCGTAACAACAATGGACCATAACAGAGTTGAACCATAACAGAGTTGGACCATAACGAAATTGTACCATAACAAAGTTGGACCGTAATAACCATGGACCATACCGGTGTTGGAACAAAATGCTAGAGGCGGCTACTATATCCCATACAGCTCGGATGTGCACTGCCTCCCAAACATTTCAATGCGCACAACACCCACAAAGAGACTATAAAAGAACCTTGCTCAATTTTCCATACAAGTTCCTCGCCAGAGTGTGGCTGTAGCACACTACAAAAAGTGCTCTATGGGCGGACCCAAACAACTATTATGTTTAGAGTGAGTTTCGTAGTACATAAATGTTAATAAGGCGACACAATCTGAATGTGCACCAGCCGAACAAAGCCCACAAAAGCAGTTAAAAAATAACGCCATCTTATCCAGTTCACGATAGCTTACACAATGCCGTAATATGATAGCTTCAGAGCAATTCACCGATGTGCTCACAGTGATTTGCTGTTGTCTTGCCATTTATAACCTCTGTAACCCTGAACTTGAGCGTGGTCAACATGACGTAGGTCACTGAGTTATAAGAGCCTTACTTTAAATTGTGTAGTGGTGAAAGTTTTCTTACTTCAGTGTGTAATATTGATAGGCTTTACTGAAACCAAGTACCGGTCCCGAGTAAGCAGTGCTAGGTACCGGTCCCGAGTAAGCAGTGCTAGGTGACTGTTCAGTCCCCCACCCCCCGCCCAAAGTGGGTAACGGTAGGAACAACTTCCTGACTTGACTGCCAATGGATGTCACTGGCATATATAGGGCCTTCTCCGATTTCAGTATTTCAGGCAGGTCAAGGAAAAGTGTACAGCTACCTAGGGTAGTCCCTGCTCCAGTACAGCTTTCAATAAAACACCACACTTTCTCTTGGTCTGGATTGTCCTGTCTGTAAGGAAGGTCTTCACCCAACTGTGGAGTTTCCAGTGGATTCCAGTCCGTGTCATCTACCACCTTTCCTATATACCCTGTTGTAAGCTTGCTGGAGATAATCAAACTCCTCTACTGTATGTTTCTTTTCATGGAAGCGGTCATGGACTTCTCTGGCTGAGCCCTGGCCCGCACGAAATTCTGCAGAGATTGTTTCCAGCCACCAGTACAGGTGGTTCTTGGCCATCCTCTCTGCAAGTTCCTGATGCACAAAGTGACTGAAATAGGTCGATAGCTGTTCATTTTTTAGCAGGTTCTCCTTGTTCAGGGGATCGTTTTTCATTCCTCGTCTTGGTGATTAGCTGGAAAATGGTGCCCTTACCATATCAGCCGGATTGAGGTAGACAAGCATTTCATTGTGGATCTTATCTGGTCCAGGGGATTTGAGAGGCATCGGTTTCTTCTGTTGAGCTTAGTTAGAGTGAATTCATCTTCAAAGAGAGAGATACTTGTACTTTGCTCAGTTTTTTAGACAGTTTTTATGTAGGTCAGTGTGATTGTGGCTTTGTTCACAGAAGCAACGTACTTGCTGAAAGTTTCTGATTTTTTTTCCGTCTTCTACGATAGCACCTTCTGCTGTGTCCATGGGTTTTGGGTTGTTGGAGAGAAGTGAAGCTTTGGCTTCGTTTCTACGTAGGTCAACGTGTTGCTCCATTTCTTTCTTTCGGCCTAGAGGTTTGTCTTTTTGACCCTAGCTGAAGCTTTTTTGTAGTTAATTCTGTTTCTTGTTGAATTATTGCTTTCTTGCTTGTTCAATATTCTCATCCCAGAAGTGGTTGCACTTTTTCCAGCAACTCTTGAGGTACATAGAGCAGAGAATCTGTTACAGCCCCTCAGTAAACATCAAAAGAGAGGATGAAAGGAATACACAAATCAGGCCTGCTCAATGTGTGTTGTGAGCCCTGTGAAAAATTAATAACGGTAGATTTCTTGTCTTTGAAAACAAGGAGGTTTCTTGTGACACAGAGTTTTGTTGCCTTTCCGCTTTTGTTGTATGTTTTGTATAGAGGCGAGTGGCTATTAAAATCACCTGCAACTATTGTTATGGATCAAAAGAGCAGTCACTTCCCGGAGGAAGACTGTCAATTTGCAATCTGTGTACCAAATTGTAGCTGTTTCTTGCGTGTCATTTCTGATATAGGAGATTTGTACAAATTGGCAGTCAGGGCTTTTGCAGGTATAGTGAGTGCAACCTTGTATATAAGGGTCTGTGCTTTCTTGTAATAGGGCAATGTGAATTTTCCTTGAATCTAAAAGATGAGAGATTTCTATTTTCTTGTTCGCAAGGCCACAAACGTTGACTTGAAGCAGTCTAAACTGTTCTGCTTTCCCAGATCTAACTTTTCCCTAGCAGACTGGCTTGGCACTGCATGGTGCGAGCCTTAATGTACGACGAGTTGCCCGATAAAGGATGAATTCCTTTTTTTTTTTTTTCCTTTAGCATATTTACTGGGGACCCTGTTTTTTTGTTTGTTTTTTCTTACATCCCAGGTGAGTGGTGTACCAGTAGTCCATTTCATCTGGCATTGAAATTCCAGGTGCTACAAGTTCTGTATCTCACAAAGTGGGACAACGCACTCAACGGGGTCAAATTAATGTGGTCTGAACCTGGCAGCGTTGTTGCGCCAAATTCACACACACAAGCTAGTTATCACGTCCTGGATCCTTTGTGCCTGCACGTAGACGTCCGTGTTTGGGTATTCAATGTCCCCGGGGCCTATCACACCCATTGGTGTATTCATCCTTTGCGTAACAAAATTGGACCCTAACGAAGGTGAACAACAACAGAGTTGGACAGTAACAACAATGGACCATAAAAGGCTTGGACCATAAAAGAGCTGGACCAAAAACGGATTGGACCCCCAAAAAATGGAACATAACAAAGTTGAACAATTACAGAGTTGGATAACAAAGAATTGGACTAAAAACGAGATAGACTATAACAGAGTTGGACCATAACAACAATGGACCATAGCAGATTTGGACCATAAAAGGGTTGAACCAAAAATTAGATGGATCATAACACAGTAGGACCATAACTGAGTTGGACAGTAAAAGGGTTGGACTAAAAAAGAGTTGGACCATAACACAGTTGAACCACAACACAGTTGGACCATAAAAACGTTATCACGTTACAGATTTAGACCATAAAAGGATTGGACCAAAAAAGAGATGGACCATAACAGAGTTGGACCATTACATAGTTGGACCATAAAAATGTCTTTCCCAAAAAGAGGAGGACCATAACAGAGATGGGCCATAACAAAGTTGGACCATAAATTGGTTGAACCAAAAAAAAAAGGATTGACCCTAACAGAGTTGAACCATAACTGAGTTGGACAGGCTTCGACCAAAAATGGCTTTGACCAAAAAATAAAATAAAATAGATGGACCATGAAAGAGTTGGACAAAAAAGAGATTGGACCATAACCCAGATAGATCATAAAGCGGTTGGTCGGAAACAGAAATGGACCATAACAGAGTAGGACCATAAAAGGGTTGGAACACAAAAGAGACGGACCATAACAGAGTTGGGCAATAACAATGTTGTACCATAACAAAGTTGGACCGTAATAACAATGGACCTTAACAGATTTGGACCATAAAAGGGTCGGACCAAAAAGAGAAGGACCATAACAGAGTTGAACCACAACAGAATCGGACCATAAAAGGATTGGACCTTAATAGATATGAACCATTAAAAGGTTGATCCAGTAATTAGACAGAGTTGGACCTTAACAAAGTTAGACAATAAAAGTGTTGGACAAAAAAAGATGGACCATAACAGAGTCGGACCATAATATAGTTGTACCATAACAGAGTTGGGACGTATCAACAATGGACCATAACTGACTTGGACCATAACAGACTTGGACCATAAGAGTTGGACCATAAAAGGCTTGGACAAAAAATTAGATGGACCATAACAGAGTTGGACCATAAATAAAGTTGTGCCGTGCCATAACAGAGTTGGACCGTAACAACAATGGACCATAACAGAGTTGAACCATAACAGAGTTGGACCATAACGAAATTGTACCATAACAAAGTTGGACCGTAATAACCATGGACCATACCGGTGTTGGAACAAAATGCTAGAGGCGGCTACTATATCCCATACAGCTCGGATGTGCACTGCCTCCCAAACATTTCAATGCGCACAACACCCACAAAGAGACTATAAAAGAACCTTGCTCAATTTTCCATACAAGTTCCTCGCCAGAGTGTGGCTGTAGCACACTACAAAAAGTGCTAGAGTGAGTTTCGTAGTACATAAATGTTAATAAGGCGACACAATCTGAATGTGCACCAGCCGAACAAAGCCCACAAAAGCAGTTAAAAAATAACGCCATCTTATCCAGTTCACGATAGCTTACACAATGCCGTAATATGATAGCTTCAGAGCAATTCACCGATGTGCTCACAGTGATTTGCTGTTGTCTTGCCATTTATAACCTCTGTAACCCTGAACTTGAGCGTGGTCAACATGACGTAGGTCACTGAGTTATAAGAGCCTTACTTTAAATTGTGTAGTGGTGAAAGTTTTCTTACTTCAGTGTGTAATATTGATAGGCTTTACTGAAACCAAGTACCGGTCCCGAGTAAGCAGTGCTAGGTGACTGTTCAGTCCCCCACCCCCCGCCCAAAGTGGGTAACGGTAGGAACAACTTCCTGACTTGACTGCCAATGGATGTCACTGGCATATATAGGGCCTTCTCCGATTTCAGTATTTCAGGCAGGTCAAGGAAAAGTGTACAGCTACCTAGGGTAGTCCCTGCTCCAGTACAGCTTTCAATAAAACACCACACTTTCTCTTGGTCTGGATTGTCCTGTCTGTAAGGAAGGTCTTCACCCAACTGTGGAGTTTCCAGTGGATTCCAGTCCGTGTCATCTACCACCTTTCCTATATACCCTGTTGTAAGCTTGCTGGAGATAATCAAACTCCTCTACTGTATGTTTCTTTTCATGGAAGCGGTCATGGACTTCTCTGGCTGAGCCCTGGCCCGCACGAAATTCTGCAGAGATTGTTTCCAGCCACCAGTACAGGTGGTTCTTGGCCATCCTCTCTGCAAGTTCCTGATGCACAAAGTGACTGAAATAGGTCGATAGCTGTTCATTTTTTAGCAGGTTCTCCTTGTTCAGGGGATCGTTTTTCATTCCTCGTCTTGGTGATTAGCTGGAAAATGGTGCCCTTACCATATCAGCCGGATTGAGGTAGACAAGCATTTCATTGTGGATCTTATCTGGTCCAGGGGATTTGAGAGGCATCGGTTTCTTCTTATTGCCCTTTTGAGCTTAATAATAATAATAATAATAATAATAATAATAAATAGCATTTATATTGCGCATTTCCATTTCCTTAAAGATGCTCAATGTGCATTACAATGAAAAAGACATCACATCTTAAAAATTAATCGACACAAATGTGTACGTAAAACAAAGTACATATAATATAAATGCATATGTGTAAAATTTTATACCAGAAAAACAGTCTCGCGGTGAGGTTAAAAATGTGTTCACTAAAAATATACACGAACAGTCAAAATAAAGTTGAAACGTGAGTAACTAGAAACATTAATTAAAACATTAATTCTATACAGATAGAAAAACATTTCCGTT